TCTCGGCTCACTGCAAGCTCCGCCTCCTGGGTTCACACCATTCTCCTGCCTCAGCCTCCCGAGTAGCTGGGACTACAGGTGCCCACCACCACGCCCGGCTAATTTTTTGTATTTTTAGTAGAGACGGGGTTTCATCGTGTTAGCCAGGATGGTCTCGATCTCCTGACCTTGTGATCCACCCACCCTTGGCCTCCCAAAGTGCTGGGATTACAGGCATGAGCCACCATGCCCGGCCAAGCCTGGGAGTTTGAGGCTGCAGTGAGCTATGTTCGTGCCACTGCACTCCAGTCTGGGCAACACAATGAGATCCTATCTCTAAAAAAATAAAAAACAAAAGTTTATCTTTGCTTATTTAATGTTGATTCACCCAGGTTTTTATCCAAGGTGGGAGTAACAGCTTTGGGATGGTGATATTAGGAGGCCTTGGCCCAGAGCCCAATACACAGAGTAGAAGCAGAAGGTGCCTCGGAGGAGCAGGCCAACTCAGGAGAATGTCAGCAACAGCCATTCCCCCAAACTGAGGGTGGGGATGTTCAGAAATATGGAATTGGCTAATGAAGAGCATATTCAGGGAGGACAAGTAGTCATGGTAGCAGTCAAAGCCAGACATGTAAGGACAGCTTCAGGTCAGAGCACGGTGATTAAGCTCAGTTCTGCCACTTAATAGCTTTGTGCCTTGACAAGTTAATTAGCCTCTCCATGCCTGAGTTTCTTCTGTAAAATCTGTAACAATCTCACAGATTTGTTAGGAGGTCTGTACTTGTGTGTCTGACTTACAGGTAAATGCTTTGTGTACAATTAAAATTTAAAAAAATCCAATAGTAACAGAATTGATGGAATCCACTGGCAGGATTTCCAGATTGGATGTGGGAGATGAGAGAGACTGGGAATCAAGAATAACGACATAGTTTTGCCAGCTTGGGTAGCTGGAAGGATGGTGATTGGTGGAACTGACATTGGTGTTTGGAAGAATGTCAGTCCTTCTGGTAAAACTGTCACATGTGATAACTTGGAAGGGAATAAATGTAACAAGCTTGAAACCTTACGTGAAGAACTTGGAAAACAATCTTAGTACCATGGTTGTTATTAACTGCATTTGCCAAGTTATTTTTTTCTCTTTTTTGGAGAGTCTCACTCTGTCACCCAGGCTGGAGTGCAGTGGCGTGATCTCGGCTCACTGCAACCTCCGCCTCCCAGGTTCAAGT